AGGTGCACTGTTGATCAAGTGTATTATTATTAATGTGCAGCCCACCCAGTGGAGAAAATTAGTAGCATTTAGTAGAAGATGCATGTATTTAGAAAAGTACTGTAAGTAGTGGAAATTACTTTGGAAAAAAAGTTCAGAAATTATTGAATATCTAGGCAAGTATTTAATGATCTCATCGTTAGCTAGATTTTAAAATAACTGTGATTATATCCTATGTTTGAAGAAAAATTTAAGTAATTTCCCATATTTTCAAAGGTTGCTGCCTGTTAAAGCTTGCACGTTTAATTTCTATGCTTTCAAAGGCACCAAGAACATAACAAGTTCAATGTTTCAAATCCCCCTGAGTAACATTTCACATACAGAGTATTAAACTGTGCTGAGATTACTAAAGTCAGTACATGTTGTTGAGTCAAGAGAATTCTAATATGACATGACTGGTTTCAGCATCAGTGACTTACTCTTACCAATTTTAAAAAATTAGGAATGCAAGTATGCTTTGCTATTAGCAAAGAGAAAAGAATAAACAAGAAAGGCAGAATAAACAGAGAAATGAATTGAAATTGTGGTAATGACTATAATCACTATAACATGTTTGGTTTTTTTTTCTTGAATCACAGATAACACTCTTGTCATTACTCCCAAAGCCATCAATTAGTTTTTCTGTCATCTACCATCCCATAGGGGCACCTGTTGCTACATATTTTGGCCACATATAGTTAACAATGACGCATGAAAGCCTGGCAAAATGAGATTAGTAATGAATTCTGTCAGGTAAATTATATATACTGAAATAAGTTCTGTAGTTTTGGATCAAATCCACATGTTTAAGAACTATTTTAACACCAAATATATGCCCTTCCATAGCATAAGCACTGTAAGAGACTGACAATTCTGTTTATCTGTACTTAGCAGTTTGCACAGGCATTGACTCCCTTCTTGCAAGATACATTTCAAATAATTGAATACTATTTACTGTATTTGCTATAATGTGGATATTGGGGTTTGGGGTTTTATATGGCTGGTTGGTTGATTTGTTGGTTTTTAGATGAACAGAGATACTTAGTTGAGTTCTAAACCCAGAACCACCACAAAAAGCATCTTACCACACTTGGGCCCTTCTATACGGGTAATGCTGTTACTTGTTAATGTCACTTCTAAGAAACATTATTTTTGTCAGCATAGCAGTATCAGTTACATGAAGGAGACACAATAACCAATGGTTTTCTGCCAGTCTAAGTGCCCGTTTTATTTATAAATATGTGTGTGTGGTCCAGCTGACATGTAGCAAAACCACCCACTTGTCATGCAGGACTATGGAATAACAGGAAGTATGCAAACCTCATGGTGCCAGCACGGCTCCAAATAGCAATAGGCCAGTGTACCTCCTACTGCAAGGCAGCCACAAGGACTGCTTTGTTGTGTTGCTAAAGCAATTCTTCCCTGTTTGATTTGGGTTGTGCTTATTGCAGCCTTTGGAAAAACTCAGGGAAGTCTACTTTGCTAAAAGATTCTCAGACTTGTGGACTTCTTAGTGGCATAGGAATTGCATTTCACTCTGCTAACGACCAAGTTTATTTAAAATTATCATGGCATAAATCATATAACCTATTGGTCTAATTAGGGTGAAATGTGTAAGGTATTAATTCCTGAGTACCAGAACACAATCAGATGATCTTCTGATGTTACCTTTATGGCCAAATTATTTGCCACATTATGCTGTCAATTATTAACAGCACTGATAATAATACACATCACACTAAAATTATTTCTAAAATTGCTGCTATTCACATGCAGCTTTTCTTTGGCTGTCTGCTGAATTTTTGCATCTAAATTTTGCAATAGCAGATATTAAACAGAGACATTATTTGCTTGAAATTTGTCTTGACTAAATAAGTTTCATATATACTGGTATGTGTCATTATTTCTGCTGTGATAATGCACATCAAATAACTAGTTGCATTGTTAGCTAGGGACAGGCTACTGAAAATGAACGTTTTTGCCTTTTCTATTCTTTTAGCCATCCAATATTTTTAGATTTAAAAAATGCAGGAAAGAGTGCTTCCTCCTGTCTTTACCTCTTTTTTTCTTCAAAAAAAAAAAAAGTGCAAAATCAACAGTAGAAGGTGTTTTCTGTATGTCATCTGCAGGAAATTTGTATGTCAATTGAAATACATTCTTTATGGTTGCTCTTATAGGTATGAGAATTTTCTTTAAAAACTCTATTTAACTGCCTTGGGTGAGGAGAATAAAATTCAGGCCATGATCTGCTTGTGTTTTTTTTACTGTTTTCTGAGGATCCTGAGAAAGATTTATGAAAATTAATACAGACTACAACTGTATTAACTGTACCACATTCACCAAGACAAAAGAGGGGATACGTGTTTACCCTTCCAGAATTTTATCTTTACTGAATGGTAACTCCAACTTCTTTTTTTTTCTTTTTTAATTAATAAACATTTCTTTCATCATTGACCCTTCCTTAAAAAAATAGATGAAAAAATATATATATTAAATCTCAAAAATCATTACCCTAATTTATTTTGATCTTTCTCTCCCTTCCAGGTTTAGTATGAGGTTAGTAGTGCAACTCCCTCTCCACACCCCAGCCACCCTTCATCTGCTTCTTTACCACTTACTGTATGAAATTAAGTTTCCCAGACAAATACGGGGACATCATTTTGCAGCAACATTCAAACCCTCATACCTCAGCCAGTTCAAATGCTGATCTATGTGAAGGTAGGAAATGAACACGTTAGTCCCAATATTTTCTCATTCTGAAAGGAAGACCCTTTGTGGTGTATGACATTATTCTGTCTAACTGCAGTGCTGGTTTGAGAACTTAGGTATCCATGAGGAATGTGATATTTTGCTGGAACATGCTTCAGTGTATCTGCTGGCACCCAACCTACTAGCTAAAAGAAGGAAAAGTACTAGATAGAGAGTAATAGCCTGTTTTTCCCTTAGGAAATACAGAGCTTATTATTTTCTTGATCTCCTGGACATCCTATTTCTTGGGGTACTGTATGGAACAGAACTGGTTTAGTTGCCTTTGAGAGCAGGCAGATTGCCCAGGTTATCTTGGTTACATGGGAGAAGCTGGAACTCTGTACTTCACTAGTGCTCACAGCTGGGAAACAAACATTTGTAGGCTCCCAAGGCAGGTGTTAGAAGAATCCCACTGCTGCTGAAAATGCCCCCAAGAGTTTGAAAACACTGGTTGGCTAATCCTGTAGTGGACAGTGCATGAAAAGTGGTACACAGACATTGTTCTTCCTCTGGTGCTTTCTCTGACCCAACTACTGTTTACAGAAACAATCTTCTTCATCTTAGATACTTTACAAAATAAGTGACCAAATGCTGAACTCATGAACAAGCTTTTGGGTTTCATTTCTGTCTTTTTTTTTTAATGGAAAAGTGTTTTTTTTTCTTTTTTCATGTATTTTCTTTCCCTCTTTTTTCTTGCATTTGTTGCATTGAAGTGGTAGAACCTTTTCACTAGTCATATAGGATCAAGTATTATAAAGGTAAATAAATTTTAGAAGTGTTAAGTATGTTACCAAAGCTAAGCAATTGATCTCACTGAATTCTTTGTATTCTACTACAAGATTAAACATGATATTGTGGATTTTTTTTAAATGCAAAAAAAATTATTTTCCATAGAAAGGACTTAATCTTTACTATTGTAATAAAAGGGGTCCTGAAGTATACTCAGTATACACCTGTGTAAGAGTTAAAGTAGTTTTGATTTCAACAATCAATCCTTCGCTCAAAATTTCAGCCTAACATGCAAAGGGGTTTAACTTTATAATAAATACCTCATTCTTAAATTTGTAGTTCTTGACTAGGTAATGGCAGTTCCATCTGTCTCAGGAAGTTGTAAACATTCCCTGCCTAAACAAACAGAAAAAGTGGGACTGCTCAGGAAATGCTAGATCATAGTGACTTCTCACCATCCTTATCCAACAGTTCTCCTCATTGCCCATTACATGCTTTACATTAAGGCATGATGTTGGTGTATTTGTTAGCTCTCACTGGTTTCTAAATTGCTACATTGTAAACTTCCTTCTTGAAACTGGCAGCCCCATAAAGAACATTGTGTTCAAAAATATAATTAAGTTATGATCCTGACATATTTTTCACTGCATCCTTGGTTTGGGTTTTTAAAGAAAATCAATTAAAGCAATAATCAAAGATTCAAAAATTGACACAGGTCTTAATGTCTTGTTAGATTAAAAAGGTAGAAAGACGCAAGAAAATTATTTTTAAACTGTGTTACATCCTACTCTTTCATGAGAACCAAATTTCATACCACTGTTATGATGGAAGAGAGACTTATGATGCCCAGTGTTCAAGAGAGTAACTCTTTCAGTATTCTCTGATACTGCTTCTGGCTGATCAAAGTGGGCATCATGCTGCATTAGAAGAGGGCACTGTGAAAATAAAGCATCAAAAGAGGCTGAAAAACAGAGTTTGTGCAATCAGACTTAAATTAAACTGAGATCGGATGGTATTTGGTTTAAATAATCTTATACTTTATTTTAAAACTTAGAAAAAGCAATTATTAAAACATAAAATCTAGTGGTTTAAAAATTCAGCTATATTCAATACTCATAAAATAATGATCTCTAGCAGTCATTACTAAGATTATGGAAGCTATTTGTTACTCAATATGCATGACATAAAGTGCTGCAATAATTCTTTTTTATGCTGTATAAATTATTTTCCCCATTAAGTATGCAGATTTTCTCTGCTTATTGTTGATCTGCTGCTACACATTTCATGAAAGTTCACTTTGTCTTCAGAATTTGGCACTCCAAACAGCCAGTTTAACAAATGAAAGAGCACAAATTATGACAGAAAATCTCAGCAGTGAGGTTAGTATTTGGGTTTGTTTGGAGGACTTTCTTTTGCTTCAGTTTCTTTTATCTTATATTACATCAGAAAAGCTCTCTGCAGAAAAGTTTTTTTCTTCCAACCAGTGTCAAGCCTTTATTTCTTACAATACATATTCAGAAGTATGAAAACCATGGAAAAAAATGTTACTCCCTTTAGACTCAACATGTGACACGGTATTTTTATATGCTGATTCTTTTTTTACCATGTGTCATACCATGTATCATTTATTTCCTTTAGTACTATGAAAAAGTATCAGATTCAGCATTTGTATTCCAAAGTTAATATAAAATAGATTTCAGTTATGTTATATAGGTTATTTGCTCAGAAATTTGTCTCAAGAGTTAAAAAGTGATTAGTGAAAAAAAATGATCAAGTGAGTAAATATGCAAGAATGTAAATATCAAATATAAAAAGGATTATTCTGAATAACTATGTATAAATACTGGTAATTAATTGCATTGTTCTCTCATAAAATAGCTTGTATAGACTGTCCCTTAATAGCCTATGATATGGTCAATTAATTAAAGCTTCATTTTCCCAGATAAGATCTTCTCATGTAATTCTTTGGTTAACAAGACATATGCTTTCTTAGAATTATCTAAAAAATAAAGAGGATCAGTAATTGTAGATGGATTAAAACCTTCATCCACAAGTCGAAATTTTTGTTGTTTGAATGTTCCCGTCATTTCCATTTTTTCCTGCAGTAGAGAAGAAGATACATTATTCAAAGAGAAGCTACTTTTCTTTTACTCACATTCACATTTGTTTTTCAAAGTCTTACTTGATGTAAGTCAGTTTATTCTCATTGTGCTGAAAAACTGTAGCTTGCATGCTGCTAAAGACCCATCAGACACGTGGCTGACAAAAGCTAGAGCCCATTTCTTTCTGCATCCCTGAGCAGTGTGTCACATGTGGTATATGTAGCCCCAGCATGCCCAAGACAATCGATCTTCTTCACTGTGCACATTATAAAAGGAAACTACACACCATGAAGCTTCTGCGAGTAAAACCTGTTATTACCAAGAACTCCTCAATGATAAAACTCAGGAAATTTACTATGACTATTGTCACCTCACAAAAGGGGTTGAAAGAATCACGTACTAGATCAGCCATACTCATATTCAGCCAGGTCCAAAGGAAGATGGATCTTGACCATTCATTTTGTTTTCAGACAGCTCCACTGCTATGGTATCCCTTGGAAAAGTGCTGCAAGGCATCTGTAATAAGACTATCTTCTCTGTCCTAAATACCTCTACTTAGCCCAGCTTTATGACCTCTCTCCATCATCTTCTCTTCTGTTTTTATATTTTTTTATATCTGCAAACAATCTCTGAATACAAAAAATTAAGTATTAAATTCAATAAAAATGTAAAAGAGCCCTTTTATCTACTCCACGCATACCTACAAATTTTATCTACCTGTTCTGGTTGGTCCAAGAAATCTAAATCTGACATATAAAGTACGATTATTTGTCAGATCAAGCTTAATATGTTTTAATTTTTATCCCTTCAAGTTCCACCCACTACCTTCTTTCTTGGTTAATGACAGCTGTACCAACAGCAAAGCATCTGTCATGGAGGCATTTAAATTTTAATTTAAATTCAAATTGCAGATACTTCATATCAAGATTCAGATTCTCTCTATCCAGTGTAAAAGGTTTTTTTGTACAGCTGTACAGGAGTGAATCTAGACTAGGTATTTATAATTTCATAAACTAACTTGCAACATTCTCAAGTCTAATCTTGCTTGCTCACATCAGAATGCTTTTGCAAGAAATCTTCCTGCACTTATGGGATAGATTGATAGATACATACACACATATATCACTTTCAAGGTCTTTCACAGATATTTTGTTTCCCTTCTTTATTCAATCTCTGGGTAGTCTAAGATCCCAATTCCCGTAACTTAACTTCTCTCTTTAAACAATAATGGGTTTTTTCATCTGCTCCTCGAACTTAGGGGACTCCCTCATAAACATCTCAAGAAATATTTTTCTGTTTGTCTTTATCATGATGTTTGCAAAACACCAGAAATAAAAGTGCTCATCAGACTTCGTTTATCATGATTTATTAATTTATCATGATTATCAATATTGTTATGTTTTTTATACTCTCACATTTTTTCCTAGTTCTGTGTAGTCTACTGCATTATATTCACATTTTTGCACTCTGTGGGAGGAACTATTTTTCCCCTAAACTGGACAGATACTAGAGCAAAGTAGTGCACTAGTAAGGATGACTTTGGTGATTACTGTGGTGACAATAACACACATTTTTTATTCACCTTTTCAATTTACCTAGTATTTTTTCAAATGCTTTAATATTTGTCATTGTTACACAGAAAATAACGTGTTTTATTCTGCACAGCCACTATCTCCTGCTTTATCTCTATCATTTTCACTAAATAAAATGGATTTTAGATTTTCTCCAAATGCAATTGTTCATGTTTTTAAATCTGAAATTTTTTCTTTAACCATGCTTATGCTTCTAATCTCCCCAAATCCTTTTGTATGATCTCTATCCTTGCTCATTTGTATAGTTTCCCTCATTTAAACATAATCTGCAAATTCATTGACTTTTTGTGTAATCCCTTTTCCAGGACTCCATTAATGAAGACAGCAAACAGGACCAGGTCTAAAACTAATATAGTGATACATGAACAAGCACGTTCTGTTATTCACTTCACTATGTCTGTTTAAATGATGCAGATGTTTGTGTATACAGTGCAATAATGCAGCTTACCTGGATTCTTAAGAAAAGGGGACAAGCATAACTTGGTAGATAGGTCACTACTTGCTTATACATTTGCTCCAAGTCTAATGATGCATTGTGCTTTAAAATAAGAGAAGCCATTCCTGCTTTTCCTTCATGATCTGCATGAAAGGAAATGAGATTAAGATTTTGTAACATGAATAAAGTTGACATTGTAGTGATAAACCTTACAAAAAATACCATAGTGCATTAACAAACAGTCATATATCGTATTCTGAGTTTCAGTAAATTTGCAAGATCTCATTCATATTTTATTTGGTATTACATGTACTTGGAGATCACTCAAGTGATCAATTTAGCAATAATGCTGTAAATGACTATGGCGGGTAAGACTAAATGAAGTCCTATGCTCGATATAGTCGATAAATGTGGATAAATATCAACAACATTCCTTTCTTGAAAACAAGAGTGAAGAGCCTCTTTCCTGGAGTAGCCAATTATGTCTTCATTTCTGTTTTAGTCTCTTTCTCTTGCCAGTATCTTCTCTCAAAATTGTGGATCTGAATTAACAGAGACAGCAATTAAATGTTCTTACTGTTTTGTCTGGAAAAGAAAGCACTGTGGGTCTTTGGGAAAGAACAAAATGGGTACAAGGTAAAAGCACTGAACTTCAGCTATCAAAAGTAACTACACTTTAACCATCAGCTAGTAGTAACAGCAGAGATGTTTTGCCAACCTTATCTTTGTTTCAGTTTATCTTTTTGCTAATACTACAAAATCTGTAGGGAATTTGATCTGTTTATCCTTAAGTGCAATTATCAAGACAGTCAGATAAACTGAATAGGTAAAGAGGTAAGTGTTGTATAGGAAATTAGCATCTCATACTTCTTAATCTGATTATTAGACAATCTTCTATGATGTTTCCTGTTTAAAATACAGGTAAGTGACACTTTTCCTCGTTGTAAACTCCTTTTTCATTTTGTGGTGGGGTTATCCTTGTCAGCAACCAAACATCCAGCTAGCTTTGTGCTCAATCCCTTCTGCCATGGGATGGGAAGTGAAGGAAAACAAGGCTCAAGTGTTCAGGTAATGGCAGTTTCATAGGGAAAGCAAAAGACATACAAGTACAATCAAAGCAAAACCAGGACATCATTCAGTATTTCCCATCATCAGGTAGATGTCCAGCTGCTTCCTGCAGGGCACGGCCTCACTTGGAACATGCAGCGTTTTTTGGGGAGACAAGTAGCACAACCACAAACCTCTCATCCGCTGTTTTTCCTACAGCTTTAAAAACTAAGCATGGGCTATCATACGGTACAGAAGATCACCTTGGTCAGTTTCAGACCACTGTACCATCTATATCTGCTCCCACGTTCTTGCTGTCCCCAGCACCCTCATGCATGGAGAAGGCCTTGGTTCTGTGCAAGCTCTGGTCAGTGATAGCTAAGCACTGTTAAGCTATCAACACTGTTTTAGCCACCAATGCAAAGCAAGGCACCGAGCAGTCTCCTATATGTAAACTTATTTTTATCCCAGTGAGAGCAAGCACGAATTTTTTAAAAAAGATTTAGGAAGAATGAGAATCAAGCCCATACAATCTCATTAGAAATTACAAAAAAACCCCCTATTAAAAATAAACTAATGTATTTTCTTCCTTCCAAATTTATTTTTCCCTTTGCATTCTTTTTCACTTATTTCTTGGTTTTGTAACTTAACTGTTTATAGTTATTTTATGGGGCTTAGTGAAATAAGACAGAAAAATGTCTTCACGTATTTTCCTTTAGAGTTACTTCAGAATTGCCTTGTTGACATTTTATTTTGATATGCGTGTCTAGATTTTACACAGATGTGAATTTAATCTTTATATTTTAATATTTTAATTTAGGTTAAGTAGCTATCACAAATGCATGCATGGTAGATTTTCAAAAATACTCATTGCATACAGATAAAAAAATGCATGATTCACTGGCTCATTCACAATTGGGTTGTATTTTCATTATCTGTATCTACATTTTAGCTGGGTATTAAACAGATGACTCAATCAAACATGATTCATATATTTAAAACATTAAATAGAAAGGGTTAAAAATGAACGTGGGAGAAGCAAAATGTATAACTCAAGCTTTTACCTGGCACAGACACACCATACACATTTGCTTCTTGAATGAAGTCCAGCATTACAATGACATCAGAAACTTCTGTAGTGGCAACGTTCTCCCCTTTCCATCTAAAATGTGTGAAAAAATAATTTAACCCCGTGACACCTGCCCTTTTAAAAAAAACTTTAGTGGAAACTCCATTCATTTCAGACTAAGACTATCTCACATTTTTTCACACTTTTCACATGGGAATTTGATCGCTAGAAGACAATATTGCAATTTAAACCTTACTGGGTATTGTAACACTGTAAGGGCAAATGAAGATCAATACAATTGTTTCCAAGCTTTTTACATCTATATAAATATATCAACTGTGACCAATCTCTGCTATTTGATACATTTTCCTCCACATCAGTATCCGACTTCCTTGCTCATAGCAAATCCATCACTAGTTAGATGTTTATTGAAAAGCATGTTCACAGAGCTTGAACTTCTACAAGCTATTCTGAAAATTAACCATTCATCTCCACAGGATTATTACTCACGGAGTACTTGTGACAAAATTAAGCCTGCATCATCCACTTCAGAATCATTATAAACTACATCACAATAGCAATAAATTGAACAGTTCCAGTTGAAAACAAGTATAACCACATTATTCTATTCTATATATCTTTAATGAAGAAATACAAAAAGAAACAATAACTGTACCTGAAGGTATCTCCAATCCTGTCCCAAAAATATAGAAAATTGTCATGGTCTTGAACCATTATATCTCCAGTATTAAAATAAAGATCTCCCTTCTTAAATACCTCACAGAGTAATTTCTTTTCTGTGTGTCTTTTACTGCCAGCATAACCAAAGAAGGGGTTCTTCGCATTGACTTTGGAAATCAGAAGACCAGCCTCACCTATACAGAGAAGATAAAAGAATATAAACCTAAAATATCATTGGACATTTCTGCACCTGACATTAATATTATTGCAATATCGTCCACGCAAATTCACAGTCACTTGTATTTCTTCTTGGTGACTCACCAGTTTTCTCCCAGAATGGTCATCTATCAATTGTAAGCTCACTAGTAATTTATTATGCTCTGAAAGAGCACAATTCAAGTTAATATTGAATTGACTCGCCACATTACTAAATTTCCATTATGAGTGTCAGCTTTATCAGCTTCCTAATGTAAAACTAGTGTTAAACTAGTCAAAAGTAGGTGCTCAGCCCAGGCACTTTGTCCCTATTTAGTCTCCTTTCAGAAGTTCTAAGAACACTGAAATTACCTTAGCTGGTTGGAGTCTGGTGTTAATAACACTGAGCTTGTCTTCATCCCTGTGGGGACCATTCACTTAAAGAGTTTGACTTGATCCCTGTGGGTCCCTTCCAACTCAGAATATTCTGTGACTTCTTAAGAATATTCATTAATGTGATGTAGCATCATCAATATACTTTTTGATGTAAAATATAAAAGTTTAATACAATTTTTCTTCCTCAAAATGTAGGGAGAGTAGGGGAAAGGATCATCCTCTTATGCATGTAGAGTACCAGGGTGTTAGTTCGCAGAATATGGGAAAATTGCATGAAATAAACTTTTTGACCAAGTTCTGAACAATACAGCTTAAGACTTCCAATGCTCTGCAACAGAGACAAGCACTATAAATATGAAAATGTATCAAAATTATTCCAAAGGTGTGCATAATTTTTAATTTAAGACTCCTTGAAAAAGAGCTGTGTTTTTTTCCCCATAAACTGGTAGTGTTTAAAGTATTTAGTTCACTGGTAATATCATTGCAGCCATAATGCTCTGAAGAAATCAGACATGGGTAAGACAAAGATTATAGACAGAGATAATACTTTTCATTAGACTGAGTGGTGTAGTTGGAAAAAAATTAGACCAAGTGTCTAATTAGAGCATGTGCTCCCTTCACAGGTCAGTCTGGCATCCCTAGAGATAAACTCCGATAAAATTCCAGCTTTTGGGGACATATCACCTTCAAAGTGCCCACATTTGATTTCCAACTGCTAGAGAATCTCATAACTCCTTTGAAAAATCCGTTTCAGCCCCCTATTAAAGCTGTCTGCCTGACCTTTAATACGAGGTTTTTCTTGCTTCAATTTCAGCTGTTACCTTCCCACAGTTCAGTATATACTCCAGTATCTGATAACACTTAAAAAAAATGCATAACCGTGATTTTTGATAAATATCTTTAGGACAGCTATAATCATCAATTTAGGGATTTTGTTTGGGTTTTTTTGTTTGTTTGTTTGTTTTGTTTTTTTAATTATTAAGCTGAATCACATCACTTAGTTAGAAACACTTAATCTCTCATCAAAAAGTATTTGCTCTAATCCACCAGCCCTTCCTGTAGATCTCTTAGGCAACCATTTCCTTATGTTAACCTCCTTTAAAAAACACAGATGTATAAATTCAAAGATAATATCATAGCATTACTTTTGAACACTAATCTCCTGTGAATATATCCAAGGATCTCCTGAGTGCTTTTGATACCCGAACTGGTATGTTTCATGCTGTTTTATCTGAGATCAAAAATCTGCTTTTTTTCAGAGCAAAGAGTAATAGTTAATTTAGTAAACTGCAGTAACACAATAGCAATGTTCCTTAAAACAACTCTCTGAAGTATTTTTATTAAAATCAATAGGCTGCAATATCCTATTAAAATAAATACTTACCTTTCTTAACTTTTTCACACCAACCATGCTTATTTCTAATTGGTTCATCTTTTTGGAAATCATACTTGATTAAATCAAATGGGAAAAAAAGCTAAAAAAGAGAAGAAATCATCTGTTACTCATCTACACAGTGACATCTGGTGGCAGCAAATATGCATAAGGAAACCTGTATTCCACTCTTGCTCATCTAAAAGGAGAATGCTGTTTCATTTAAAACTGAAAATACTCTGTATGTAAATCTATGCTATTTCCTGGAGGTAAGCAACGTCAAAACAGTTTTGTAAATGAAGACATAGAAATGGTTTTTTGTTAATTTTCTTACAAGTAAGTTATGGGATACACACCATCAGTGAAAGAGCAATGTGAGTCAGCATAATAGAAGCATTATTTCTAGTATTTAAGTGACATTTACTGGTGGTGGCTGATATGACATGTTCTTGGGGTCTTCTGGCACTAAAAACAGCTAGCAAAGGAAAGGCCTCACAAGGGAAAATCTGCTTCCTGTTGGGCTTTACTGTTGCTTAACTAGCGTCAGTTCTTCCCTCTTGTTTTCTCAGGCTGCTGTATGGTGGTGGGAAGTGAGCACCAGCAGAAGGGTAAATCCTTCCAGGGCTCCAAGCAAACTGAAGGAGAAGAAAAGATACTCCTATCTAAACTAGCAACTGCAAAACTTTCTTTTCCCTTCATCTTCTTTTTTTTGTTTTGTTTTTTTTCTTGAATATACGGCATTTGACTATTATTTTGCTTCATTTTTCTGCTGTGATATGAATCCAAACTGGACCCTTAAGAGACACGGCCTGACACTATTTGGACAACTGTGTTTGCAGTGGTCCAAACTGTCTCTTTATTATTCTAAAGAGACAATTTGCCTGGCTTGGGATTCCGTGTTGCCTTCTCAAAAAGAAATGTATCAGCAATCTTTAACAACTAGTGAAATCAAGGAAATTATCTTCCCCTGAGAATTATTGGCAATAAGGGAACAATTTTATAAAACATGAATATACACCTGCACTCTTCACAATAAAGAAATGCAATATAACTTAATGAGGGTTACATGGAAGTGACTGAAGTAAAGGGTAGGATGTTAAAACAAACTTTTCTGCCACTGACTTGGATGAAGAGTTGCATCTTTATCCTAATTTGAAATATTTGTTGTAAATATATCAAATATTTTTTTCTCAAAGAAATCTGAATAAAGAGCAACATGAATACCACAATTTCAGTCTCATACAGACAAAACCGGTTCATTGAGTCCTTTCAATGTTCAGCACTGTGTTTTTCTTCTACCCTAAGTTTGAAATAAAAAGATGTTTTTGATAGTCGATTAAAGGAAAAAGGTCATATCTTGCAAAATAAAATAATGATTCAAGAATGGAACATTATTTTAATTAAGTGAAGGGTAATTACTTTTATTAAACTCAGATTAAACCATTTACTAAAGTCAAGAATTTGAGAGACAGAAAGTTTGCTTCAATTAGAAAATAACTGATTATTCTTGAGGAACAGAATGGGAGTGGGTCCTTTTTTTGCTGTATACATTTAAATGCTACTCTTTTTCACTTTCTTTCTTTTTACACTGATATTACCTTATTACTTTAATAAGTTTCGTATGACCAAATGCAGTGAGTAATATAAATAACAAAAATGAAATGGTAGGAAATTAAATGTTATTCTCTTTTTGTGTCTGTTTAGAATAGTTTAAAATAATGCATCATATAGAGTAGTATTTTTAAAAGATACAGTTTTTGAGCTGAAAGAATGATTATTTTAAGCTGTTATAAGCACTCAGAAACTGTACTTCACCAAGATCATCTAAAAACTGTTGAGACTATTATTATATATAACTGTGCTATGTTGTATACATTTTTTTTGCCTGCCAATCCAGAGTATTAACAAGGTGTATTCCAATTAGGCTTTTGAAATAATAATAATGCAAATATATAATTAAAAGGAAATACCACATCTTGTATTAAATATGCTATACAAAGTCTGTGCAAACAGCTGTACCTGCACAAAAGACTTTTCCAAGCTAAATAATTTTCTAAGCAGCTTGCTTTTCATATTAAATACTAGAAAATGAAAGCTCCACAGCAAAGTATTTAGTATGGACACAGACAAACATTTGGTTCACCTCATTATTTAAACTCTAATGGGACGAGGACATGAGCCGTTGAAGCATTATCGTATTATTTTCACAGAGTACTGCACGCAACATTCATCATTTTAACATTCTACTCTCTGAAGCATGACATAAATGTAGCAAACAAAAAGCATAATTTAGGGAGCTGAAACAAAGTTCTTTAATGTGCAACATTGTTAACTACCATGCTGCCTAGATGTTATCTAGTAACCGTTTCCCTCACCTTTTTTTTAATTGATTGTAAATACGTGAATTTCAATATTGTTTTGAAAGCAGTTTTGACATTCCTAAAGTTTCAACTTACAAGGAATGCTCAAAGAACCTTTATCAGAAAATAGAGAGCAGAAGCTTTTTATTAGTGGTTTTAGAGATTAAGTATTTTTGAATTCTCTTGTAAAATATTGGTTTCTAAAACAAAGCATTACATGTACTAGATTTAGTTTCAAACATCTTTAAAAACTGAAATATAAGAAAAAAATTTGGCGCATAGTGCCATCACATCTTTATATAAGAGACAGATTTAAAAATATACTTGAAATGCATTATTTATGCTGTAAAGAGCAGATGCATAGGTCCTCCATACAACTTTGTTAGCCAAAGTAAACAAAACCAAGAAACAAATCGTTTATGCTATGTTTGATATCGACTAATCATGACATGTAAGAATACAATACCTTAGAAAACACTTGTATTATAGCTCAAAATTAATCGAAAGAGAAAAAACAACATGAATTTTCATTGGCCAATGAACTTAGGAGCTTCCATTGCTTGGATTTACACATCAGTATTCTTTCTTCGAACCTAGTCTTCTTCTAGGATCTTAAAATTTACTTTAAACTAACTTTGTTTATTTTTAAACTAAAAAATTTGTTTTCTGCCACAAGTTCTACAACTGCATGAAGAAGTGCATAATACTAATTCTGAATGGCTGTGTGAAAGCCATATTATATATTTAAATTATTTAAGATTTGTTATAAGATCTAAACGTTTCTCAGCTCAAAGCTGATTTTTATCTATATAGTTTTGCATAAGAGATTTGAATTCCTGTGATAGTTCCAGTATCTTTGCTTAAAATAATGAAAAATTACATTTACAAATAAAGTTTGGGTTTGTCTTTTTTTTTGTTGTTTTTTTTTTTTACATAATGCTTTTCAGGTGAATGTGCCACGAGTTATTTTTAGCCCTTCTTGTAAGCCTCCTTAGATATCAATAATCCCAAGCTCCCTCATTGTCTGCCATCACTCAGAATTTATTTCAGTATTCAGAAAGCAATTTATATCTATTTGGTAGACACAATTGAGGGTCTTAAAAAATTTTCTCCATATCACATTTATGTAAATACACACATAATGTATGTCATATATAACGTAACTGATTATTAACGTTAGCTAGATACATATATATGCCAGATGTAAACATTAAACTGTAATTTATTATATTACTGTGTTAATCAAGACACTGTATTTTTTATAAAACATTTTAAGTCTTACCAGCTTAAAAGGTATTCAGAGGCTTCTACTTTTCTGTTCATTGACTCTATGTAAACACCTTTATTTAAAGATTTATTCATATTCTATAGGGAGGCTTTCAAGCACATGAACCAATCCCTCTTATATAAAGAACACAGTGTGAAAAGAAACAAAAGCCCTGCTTTTAGTTAACATATTAAATACAATGACTTCTGCCAACTGCTGTAACATTCATCTGTTTCTTTCTATCACCTTATGTCTTCCAATATTTTTATGAAAATAAATGTGTTCTGTAGAAGCTTAGTATTTACCACAAGCATTTATCCCCAGCCCTTAGCAGTTACTGGCAGAAAAGTTACTTTGCTCATTCTGAGAGCTCAGTTTGCCTATTAAAGCTATAATTTTTATCTGCATTTCACCTTCACAAACTGTGCCACTGTCACTATCTACAACAGAAGGCATTCCTACTTTTCTCCTTCCCCCCCACAAAAAATGTTATACTTTGAAAGTTTCTGCTATTATTCCCTCTATACTCTCAATACCTGTATCTATAGGGCTTTGTACTGCATTTACTGTCTTGCCAGCTTTGCAATTATGTAGGAAAAGAGCAAGTTTCTTCCTTCTCCTTTAGTGTATCACACATATGAACACACAAACCTCTTTTTTCTGCTTTCTCAGTTCTCTTCCTATTCCCAGTTAAAGAAATAGGTGTTTAGAAAATCCCTATGAAGAGTGTTAGAGGGTATCTTATGTTGTCTTGCATGTCAAGAGGATGTTTCAAAAGCTATTGTAGCAGGTCTTTGAAGAAACAACAAATGTTAGGAATTGGGTGGCTGGGCCTTGTCTGTGCCATTGTCTGCTTTGCAGCAGGATTTTATTTCCAACCTCAGGTCTTCCACAAGTCAACAAATCAGAAATAATGCTGCTCTCCTTTAAATAACACTAGTTGTCTAGTAGATGTCATTTAGACTGAAGTTAAACAAACAACAGCTACACTTCAGAAGGCATTGTTTAGTAATCTGCAAGCTGCAAAATTTATTTAAAAAAACCCAGAACAAATGCCTAAAATAAATAAAAATGCACTTATCTATGGCATTAAAATATGTACTTAGTGTCACAAGCAAAATCCCGACACTATTTGATTAAAAATACAGGTGATTAAATAAATTTGCAGGTAGTTTCAAGTTTAATCTTTATCTGCTGTAGACTTTACATGGATTTCCAAAAGGTTAACGATTCTGCCAAAAGTTCTGCAATACTGAAAACGAAGTTTATTCAAGTTTGGAACACATGCAAAATCTTGTAAGACTAGAAGGCATCTGGCTTAGAAAAGTCAGAAACAAAAATTAACATCAGCTGTAAGGTTCCTGGTTCAGCTACTACTCTCTAAATTCCAGATCTCTGATCTCCTGTAGCAGTTCTGGACCCTTCTGGAGATACTCAACAGTATCAGATGGTCCCTGCCTGCTACAGAGCATCAGACGTGTAGGGCAGAGAATCAGTGAAGTCATCTGCTTAAATTCCTGAGTGCTCAGTGGTTTCTGAGCAACACACTAGCTCTTGTGGTTTTCCGAGTGGTTCCAGAATCCTCACTGCAGTCCGAGTTCCTGTATGAGAAGTGAAGAATTCCTCTGGCCTCAGACTGTAAAGCAGTCTATGTAGCGATTGTACTGTGGTGAAGGAGTATGGAGGTTGAGGACCCTGGAACATATGCTGCCTGGAACCCTATTTACATGGCATCAGAAGATACCTCAGTTGTATTTCTAAACAATGGTTTTACATCACTCACTAAAAAGTTTTATCAGGATAATTTGCTATCAATTCTCCTAAGGAGCACAAATGTTATTTAAATTAACAGGACTTATATATAGATATAAGTATCGCTCAATTTAAAATACCAGGCAATGCATGAGGTACTATTTATTTCAAGAAGAGTAAAAACTGGCAGAAACAACAGCATAATGATAAATGTGTAGTCTCCTTGCAAAAAGGCTAGACATCTTTCATTATTAGCTAAAGCTTGGGACACATGTTACTTTGGGACTTAAAAATCATTTAAAAGATTGTCCTTACAGGATCAAAACCAAAAGGTCTATCTGTGAATTTCAAGGAGAAATAAATTCTTCATTTACTCAGAAGGATGGAAGAAAGTCATAATGTATAATACAAATAACATATAATCCTCCTCCCCAAGATATACGACTGCCATTTGCAAAGCTGATGAAATACAGAATGGGATTTTTTCTAGTTTCAGTAACCTAGAACACAGCAAACACCTACAATAGACTAGAGATAAAGGGGAGGGGTATAGCATTTTAAAATTAATAATCTTGCTAGGTATTCTCTGTCACAATAACTCAACAGTGATTATATATATATTGTGTTATTTTTAACATTTCTGAATACTGATATAGGCTAGATGTAGTTTGAGTTAATTATGTTTATTTGCACCTATTCAATTTGTATCTGTCAATATGCTATTGTATGTATATGTATGTATATCTATATGCTACTGTATGTATTATAATACCTTAATTATTATTAATTCCCATTGATGTTAAATATTTACATAGCAATATGCAATATAAACATACTATACAAACACATTTCTAACTATAATTTGTAGAACAGTAGAACAGTACATCAGAATAGAAAATTCGTAGCCTTATTTCAGAGATGAGGAGTTCTTAGGTATTAAAATTAATCCAACTTTTTCTTTTGTCCTCTAATGTAGTAGAGACCTGAAACTGTACTTGGCAACTGTCAGATTACTCAAACCTGTCAGAAGAGAGCCAAAACCTTATTGACTCTTGTGAACTCTATGAAAAGTCTCAGCAGTGCTGCTGAGAGTCGAACTAGGCTGGGTGCCAAGATTTTACTGAGGGTCAATTAACTTGCAATAACCGAGTTAGAAAATTTGTCTTGGACTTACGACTGCACTCAAACTAAGAAACACAATTTTTCAGTACTATTACCAAGTAGAATGCAAAAAAATAGTCACCTTATAAAAGAAATTGGTGCGTCCAACAGATCCAACTTTTCCTGTGTGGTTCATGAAACAAATGTTTCCTTCAGTAGCACCATAGAACTCACAGATCTTAACAGCACCAAATCTGTCTAAAAATTCCCTCCATACATCATTTCTTACTCCATTTCCAACTGCTAGTCGGACTTTGTGATTTTTTTCTCCTTCCTTCTGTTAAAAAAAGAAAAAAAAATTAACTTATAGTATACTGACAACTGCATGTAATTGTTGCATATATTGCAGGGAAAACATACCTTCTTTGGGATACATCCAGTAAAAGACAAAAAGAAGAAAAAATAACACTCAAGAAAGCTGGCATAGCTGGTGGACAGCTGTAAAGTAGTAAGCTGCAATCTAAAACCTATTATCTTGTTGAACAAAGTAATTATTTCCTGAAAAATTACTACAATGATTTATATAAACACTTCCATATTTTAAAAGTTGTATTGTCTCAGTCTATTTCTCCCCAGAGGAATTAAAAAGTTGGGAAGAACAGAGAAAGATGGGAATTATTTCTGTCCCGGGATTAAAGTCAGAAGAGATGAATAGCTACTTTCTTCTTTCTTCAGAGTGATTATGAGGAAACAATCCGATTTCACATAGTTGTAAAATATGTTCCTTCCCACATACTGCATATGAGTCATCTTCTGTACTTTTTTCAGTACTAAGACATGGAAGGTTTTGTTCAATGTTACTGGAATACATTATTTCTTAGTGATCTTGAGTCTTCACTGTTGTCAGGTCCCATGTTTACCATAACGAACACAATAGTATGTATCCAGTTCAGTAAGATATTCTAGTTTTATTTATACATTCCCAAACCTTGAGATTGCATGGACCACCATTAAAATACAATAATATTTTAAGCTGAAGTACCAGAAGGCAAAACATCTCTACTGTTTGGATTTGTTTTGGCTTATTTTAATTTCACCTAGTTTAAAATACGGCTCCCTTTTCAATCACTTTAAGTTGCAATACAGAATGCTCTAGAAGTGAGAGCTCAAAATAAACATACTTGTTTATCACATACCTTCAGAACTGCATAGAACTCTGCCACTGCAACTGTCTCTATACGCCTCCATTTACCTACATGCCAATGTATGCAAATACCTCTCTATATACAAATGCACACATCCGTACATATTCACATTCTTTCTACACATATATATATGTACACATTCACATACATATACTATAGACAACAGAGAGTCCCTACATCCTACTTTTCTATTATGATCCTTCTCCCCCACCACCATAATCCAGTATGGATTAGTTATGTCTTTACAGTAAAAATCCATTTGAACACCTTCAGTCTAACATAAAATCACAGCAAATTATTTTTGTGAAGAGATCTGATCAGCTGAGTGAAACAGGAATCTTTTAAATAATTTGGATATTAAAAACAGTAAGGCATCAACTGAATACATAGACAGCAGTGTTCCTCGGAGGCTTGTCTCTCGGACAAATTAAATTTTTCATGAGGATGTGAATTCTTCCTCCCGTTAACAAAAATTGCAAATACAGTGGAATTTTAAGCTCCTTTAAATCACAACGACCACTATGTTTTTTTCTCTTCCCTCTTCAAAACCAGTAACTCTCAGAAATATAAAAATGTATTCATTCATCATTAGTCTTCCTACTGCAAAATTCTCCTGCTGAAATGATTCATCAAGGAAAGCATCTATTTCACTTGATGCAGGTAAGTGTCAGCAGAATACAATCTGAGGCATTATCCCTCAAAGGCAATTTTACTGCAAAACGACATCACTCACCAGCTTCCCCTGGTCACTAACAACTCTGTTTTTACAAGAACAAAATTCTTGCTTTTTCCCTTCTATCTTTAGATGAAAGTAATTTCTAAACACATAAGCATATACTTCACTGAATTAATGCTAAATCATTATTAGCAAGTGCTGCATTACACAGCACTATGAATCTGACATGGACATAGCCTGCAACGAAGTATCTAAAAATTGCCCGCAGATGTAATTTTTATAGTGGTTTGTTTTTTCAGCTTCAGACACAATAACACAATGCAACAGTATAGGTTTCTACATGCTTGAAATAATAACCTCTGTTATATCGCATATTCAAATTAATTATATTGTCAATAAACAACAATAATATTCTTATTTTTTAAGTTAAATTATTTCAGTGTTTCTTTGAACTAAATCAGGAAAGCTTTTAATGCTTTTTTTCCCTCAGAAAATTATTCATAATTTTTAGAATATTCCTGTAAGCTGATCACAAAACTTTTCAAAGTGAGTTATTTTCTTTGCAATTTCAATGCTAAACTGATATTGACGTTGTCCATAGCCAAACTGCAGTTATCTCTTGCTGATGCCACTGAATTCTTCAAATATTCTGCCTCAGCTAAGATACAAAAAACAGCTCAAGAGATACTTTCAAGGAAACTCTTTGTTCCACAATGAACAGAAGAGACAAACATATGCATATATACACACACAGTAATTAAGTGAGTCTTTCATCAGGCTAGGAACATTCAAAACCTCTAGAGATCAAGCTAATTAAAAGGCTTTGCTTCTACTACTTTTACTTTAAGGGAAAAAAAAAAAGCATTTGTAGCTGTTTGCTGAAAAGACAGACTTTTTTCTAGTCTAGTTCATCATCTAGGATGAACTAGAAGACAGTGGTCTACATGGATTATGGTGGTTGGGTTTTTTTCCCAAAAGAGCAAATACTGTATCATTTAAAAGTGCAGTAATTTCAGCTCCTCACGTTACTTTGACTGGTTTATGTTAATACAGCACAAAGTTGTTTCTCCGGTGGAAAATATGAAGAGTACTTCTGACAGATCATCATCCCATTTTGCTTGCAATGTTAACACCTATCATCAACATCAACAATACAATGTAAAGCCATCTCACTTTAGGAAGGAATGCTCTCACAGCACTCAGCCTTTTTGCAAAAATACAAAGAAGGTGTACGATGTTATCAAGAACTGATTACAGAAAGCAGATTTCTTAAAAGGTAGAGCAGTAATCGACTTCTTCACAACTAAGGTAGATCGAATGTTAGATTGCATTGCTGCAACTACTGCATTTGTGATTTAGTTAGTTCCAACATAGGACTGCATAGAATACTGTAGGGAAGAACTCTTCACGGGATCTTGTATCAACAGACAGGTACAACTCTTCACTTTCTGATGAAGCCATTATAACTGTTATGCATTTAGCAGTCTTTCAACTGTAAGAATGAAAATTACATGTAATTTCATCTCCCAGCAGGTTTAATAATTATGAAGAAAATTATTAAAATTAGGGAAACTTCAAGCAGTGAGTTTTACTCACATTAGTTTCACATGTGTGTAAATTAATATAGCAATACTTTATCTATTTTTATATTTTTAATAATTAATATACGACATTAGTTCATGTTAGCTTTATGTGTAACTGACTTTCAATGTAAAATGACCCATAGTAAATAAAACAGAGGTAGCCATTCTAATATCTCTTTTTAACATCAAACATCATTACATAGATTATTGTCCAGATCACTGCTGAAGTCCAACTCTTAGGAGAGGCGTGTTGGTATCCACGGGCATTGTGGCTGAATAGTTATGCAGTAAATAAAATGCTGCAAGGAAGAGAAGGGAAGGAAAAGAGATAATTCAACCAAATTACAAAAACATGGTTGAGCAATGAATACTTAGGATGTCCTAATGGAAAAAGAAATAAAATAAATATGCAGAAACTTTTACTTTAAACTGACTAGACCAAATATGCTTTGAATTTCCACCATCTTCAGATGGCATTTCACCAACAAGCTTATCTCTGGAACAACAAATAAAATTGAAGGAGTAGGATGAATTCCAAGGAGTCTCCTAGTACATCTCCCTTCCAGCAGAAAAGCTGTTATCCCTGTGCAATTTCTTGACACCTGATCAAGCTGTGGCATGTCAGCCAGTTGCCCTGCAACAGTTGGTATGCAGCAATTGTGTGCATGCGTATTCTTTGCCCATTGTAAAAACACTGTACCAAATTAACACCTCCTATACTAAAAGCTGTACTTCCTCACAGTATCTTATTTACAAAGGACACAGTGCCTTCCTCTGGTCACTTACCTACAAATAAGTTCAAATCAGTTCAAATTCCATGTCCTCTGATAATTAAATTATTATTTGTGGCTTTGAATTTACTAATAGCTCTCCACAGATAACTAGGACAAGAGATTTTAGAATAACAGAACGTTGTAACATCTTTTCAAGGTTTCTAAAACTGTCTGTTTATTTTCCTGCACTGTGATTTTATTTTCTTAATTCAGAGTGATTCTGAAATAAAATGGGGGTTCCGTTTACATCCACTTATTTCTAACAGTAAAGGTGAAGCACTTTTTCAATGCCTTTTCATTGATATCAATGCATTAATATGCAAGAACAGTTCTTACCGTACACCTGGATTTTTTTCCATTGATTCTGCCAAGATCTTTGAACTGTGTACCAAACATCTGCACCCATCATAAATCAGTTTGACACACTATGTTCTCCATCTTGCGTGCTTGTTTCTTTTGTAAATTAATTAATTGACAAGTCAAGACCTGCCTTACTACATCACATACCACCTGCCTGGGATTTTTCATCCGGCAGTCTTTTCTCCTTAAGTGTTCTCAATAAACTACTTGGACTATCTACGTGATTAAGCTGTTGGAAAATGCCTCTTAAGGAGCTATCAACAGTCTACCAACTGGTGCAGGAAGGATTCATGATTGCAGTTACATAAAAATGTCCGGAGCAGCCACTTTAAACAAACACAAGAAAACAAGTTCTTTTATTATTTCTGCATAAGGAAAATACAAATGGAGAGAAACAAAGATAATTCAAAAAAGGAGGCATGAATTGTTCACTGTATCATGGCCTTGATGAAACTGAAAGCAATCTGAAGTCCTGAGAATGCAAATATCTGTTAAATATAAAATATGGTAAGACAGATGACACAGGATTTGTATTCAAGTATTTAATTCAAGGTATATATGTAACAACACATTCACCAGTTCCTCTATTGATACATTAGCCCGAAAAAGGGGGATCAGGTAGTTTATTAGACTATAAGATGAGAGATTTCCTACTATTATAGATATAATACATTTTTCAAGATGCACATCCACATTCATTATTTAGTAATGCCTAATTATAAACTGCAACTAGATTTTTTGAGGAAAACACATAACGAAATTTAAAAATACAAATAAAAGAAAACAGGAAGGGTGTGAAGAACACATAAGAAAGACATAAGAAAGGACAGGAAAAGTAGGAAAAGGGCACATCTTTCTAGTTCAGAAACTCGTTGCTTGCTATTTAATATAGCTCACTCTCCATTTTTAATAATCAATCTCCTGACAATCTATTAGAATTACATTCTGAAAGAAGTTGTCTTCGTTTAGCTTTTCTATTAGGAAACATTTTATTTAGTAGTACTGCCATCTCCTCATAAAATATCTACCAACGGAAAAAAAGTCACTTTTGTCCGTATTCCACCCAGTAATACGAAGTAGATAATTGTATTTTTGGTGACCATCCCAGGAGCACACTAGTCAAAACATATCACACAAAACTTTTTAAAGGTCAGTTCAGAGAATTAAAGTGCATACAGATTATTTCTTGTGATGCATATTATACACAGTGTTCTGTGAGCAATATGAAGCTTCCCTTTGTGAAAGCATGATTGTGATTTTTAATATAAGCACATTTTCTGCATGACTCCACTGGTTTAACCTGAAAGATGAGTCTAGGAAAAACTGAAAGCTGGAAGGAGAGAAATTGGTCAAGTTGTATGACCTCTTAAGTCATGATCCACCGTGCTAGAACCAGTAGTTGACATTGTAACTAGCCTTCAGTGCTGTTTTGGATATGAAAACTAATGCTTCCTCAGGCATTACTGAAGACATTTTCCACTAAGAACAACTGAAAACCTTTACCATTATTAGTGGGGAGAATGAGAAAACAGACACAGGATCATCACCAAGAGAGGTATGCCAGTATATATAAGTATCAGAAGGCAGTAAGAAAAACAGGTGTTATAATTGGTTTTAAAGTCACTTTTCAAAAAAACCACTCTTGTTGTAGTTATGGCAGTTGAAAGCAAAATGTTTGCTGTGACAGTGTTTTTTATAAGGTTAAATGATAGCGTTTAGAGAGAAAAAAAAAGCTTCCAAATCTCATGGCCTTTTCTTTTCAGATGTGCTGGATATGTTCTTAGTCTAAAAGTTCTATTTTCTCTAACAGTATATACGAAAAGTATTCAATTTTATTGGAGGCACTGTTGATATTGCAGTAAATCAGAAACACCTTGGATTAAGAATGTCTGTTTATGACACATGCAAATAGTTTCAGATTTTTTGTTTAAGGATAAGTCACCGGAAGAATAAATTGTAAAATTTCCCCTGTAAATTAAATTTTAATGACATGTAGAGATTCTTAGGAGCCTTCCCATGGAAGGTACAGAGGTTGATTGTTTGTAACTGTGTCACATTACTGGTTAAGGGTATTCAGTAAAATATTTATGCCAAAAACCTGCAAGGGGCTTGACAATATCCACTCCACATTTTAAGGATATTAAAGAACAATTTCCAGTACTGAACATAAACTGAGCTAAACTTGAGGGAAATAAAATGTGATTACAAGTAAAACCTACATTGTAGAAAAGTACCTGCTGAGTAATTTCTCCTTGCTTATGTGACCATTAAATTCCCTTCACTGCTTCTCTGTGAGACACGCTATGCAACTACATAAACCCCATCCTTACACCCCTTTCCCTAACACTTGAGTTAACTGCAGGGAAATAAATATTCATGCTGTTTCCTTATGCCAATAGCAATGAATTCCTTGTTTTCTCCTTCTAAACTACTATTGTTCTAACACAGAAGAGTTTTAACACAATAAATCCCTAATCATCTTCTCTGAAGTAATTTCTGAGAGCTTAATCCCATCCAAAGAAGCCTTGGCCAAAGTGTATCTAGTAGAAAGACTGTCTTGTCTCAGCTTAACAAAACAAAGTCTGAAAGCTGATAAGCATGGTCTTATACACTTAGGTAACCCCAAGGAAACAAGAAATGTTACCCGTGCCAGAGGATAACACTGTCTCAATACCAAGTGGACATAAAACAGGACACATATCAAATGAGACATTATAAGCAATGATACAATTATTTGTGACACAGACATTGAATAGAAGCAGAAGTGAACTCTGGTTTTAACAGAGAGCCTACCTATTTCCTGCAAGGTATCATAAATCATACAAATACTGTCATACTGCATCACAGCTTATGAAAGCAGAAAACAGGACATAATGTCAACCAGCAAGACCAATTTATCAAATTTCTGAATATTCTTCTTCACTGGAGTAGTCATGCTAATAACTTAGAGACGGATCCATTTTGTAGCTAGTGATGGCTATTAGCCATCAATGCTGGTCACTGTATTTTCACTAATCAAAATGCTGCAGAAAAAGGTGCTCGGAATAGAGCAGGCATGAGGATTACTCATTTGGAAACCTAGAAAAATCTATGAATGTCACATAATGCCGGATCTTTTTGTACTTGTACCTAAGGAAAAAAGACAACTTCCTTTTCTAACAAATGTTCTTTCCAGACAACAGATTACTAAACCAAACTGGATGCAGAATAACCTCAGAAAAAAAATCTGCTGCAAGAGTCTTCAAGAGCTGTTGCAGATGTGAGTGGGAGGAAGAACAATCAAACAAGATAAAACCAATAAGGAAAGCTCAGCCAAGAGCCTATATGCTACCAGACAGACTTGCTCAAAGTTCAGTTAAGAATTTATGAAATACAAGGCCCCAGTGTGGACTCCAGCTGTAGGCAATATACCATATATTTTGAGTTTAGTGCTAAAGAAACAAATTAAGAAAATAAGGTAATTCCTATGGATTCAGTCTGGGTTGATTAAAAGGGCCTTGTAGCATTCTAATCTCACTAATGCTGCCCACATAACATCCTGACAGAACTTTAAAACTCGCCATATCTTTCTCATGCTACTAGCATATATAGTACTTCTACATTAACAAAACTTAAATAGAGAATCCGATTTAGGAAATTATTTTACTTACTTGAAAACTAAGAGCAAATTGCATAAGACATTTTAAAACCTTCCACTTATTTGTGTGAACATGTTTCTCTTCCAGTTTAAACATGACAGATACTTAATATTTTTCTTCAGGTACCTAGCTGTCAAACTGATTTGTTTTATGATTATAGTTTTCTTCAGAAGGCTTAGCAAGCAAGCAAAAAAAGAACCAAAAAAAAACCATTTAGCTCATAGAAAAAAGAATTTAGATATGCCAACTCCTAGAAAGTATGCACACAAATTAACAAATAGAATAATTATACAGTTAATGACTAGTTAATGATTGTATAACCACTGCATGCAGTACATAAATAGTTACAAATAGTATAAATTATTTTATTTACACAATTTAAAATTGCTTTCACTTCATGGTGGCTTGGTAAGGACTTAAAAATGGAAGAGTTGGTTTCAGAAATTAAGTATATTACTGTATAATTTGTGCTCTAAGATAAAAAGGGGTGGGAAAAGAAGCCATGCTCTCCCCATTCAGTAAGAGAACAGAAAAGGGGAACAACTAATATCTCAGACTGCAAACATGGCAAAAGTTGTTAAGTTTTGGAGAAAAGGGAAATGACTTTGTTATTTTTTTCGTCATTGTAGGCTAACTTGATTTCCACAATTTAGAAAAACTATGCTTCCCCAATATCTTGGTTTTTCATATGATCTATAACTTGATTTTTTGTTATCCAGTACATCAGTGCTCTTCACTGGGCCATCATCCATGCTCCCCTTAATTCAAGAATTTCTACCTTACTGAGGCACACATGGATAGTGCAGTAGGATCCATGACCCACAACTACATTACTTAAATGTACTTTAGAAAATTTTCCTAAGTGAAGTGCAATCCAATGACCTTGTCCATTCTTTGGTCAGTAACTCGAGATATCAATGTGAATTCTGCTGGAAAATGAGACTGATTTGCATTCTCTTATTTTAGAATACTGCTTAAAGATGATGCTAAGAATTTTCAGATAAAATATTTTGAGTTACTGGTACCATTTCCTAAGAGACAAGTCATTTTAATAAAATTCACTGAAAAGGAAATAAACCACTGATTATTTTTTGAAATAACAAAATGAAATTATGATAGTGGCAAAGGGAGGCTTTTCAAAGAGATAACAGTTGCATTGCATCCAACTTCTGTACATTTTCACAAAATTCTTTCTGTTCTCATAAATATTTGTTGTCTAGAATAGCTTTATCATTGGAAAAAAAGGCAAATGTTTCACCTTGAACAAAAAGCTGCTAATCTAGATGAAGCCCCTTCCAAGTTTAAAAATACAATTTAGATGGCCTCAGAATATGCACATTCCACAAAACAAAACAGTGCTAAAACATGGCATACAAAATGTGAGACCTCTGACACACTCAGATGCCAAGAAACAAAGTTCTAAAAGTTCAGAAAAGGCATTGAACAGTAATCCTGGTTTTCTGAACTAACCGTGCAAAATTCCATTAAATAGTACTTTTTCACCAAATGATACTGAATCAGATTTTAGTCTCAAAATCATTCCTTATAATACTTTCAGTATATCTTCATGATTCAAGCCATTATTTTTATTACACATCTGCATACCACCAAATAGTTGCAGAACCTCACATAAAAGGAAGGGCAGAAGGACATGCCCAATACAGTTTCATTTCCCTTTCAGCATCCCCACATGAAGAACAATAAATGCACTGACAGACAAGCAGGCATCACTTCGATTCCACCTACCACTGGCTGATTGCAAAGGTAACGGCAGAGTTCTCCAATGTACTGGATGACAGTCACGTTGTACCTTCTGCAGTCACTCCAGAACTGACTAGCTGAGAACTTCTTTTTTAACACACAGGTTGCACCTTCATGGACACAGTAAGGAAAATTAAATTAAGCAATTGCTTTGTGGGGCAGCTTAGCTGTAAAACAAAACATCTGAGGAGCTAAGATAGCCTCACTCAGAGAACTATTTGGTATTTAAGCTGTTTGAAGAGATGTTAGTAGACAAAAAAGAGAGAGGAAATCAGCCTCCTGGCTGAGACAGTAATGCAATAGATCAGAGCTTAAAAACAAGTCTGCTTCTCACAACACTGTTGGTGTTGTAACATATTTTAAGAGTTTAGCCTGAACTCTTGTGTTCAAGCTTTTAATTGAAAATATCCAGAAGATTCAGGCTGATTAGTAAATCATTTGAGTGTCTCTGAAGCCTTATTTCTCAATAAAGCATTCATCAATGCAGATTTAGACAGAATTAACACATAATACAATGATCTTTCCCTTGCTCTGACTTGTCCTTGATGCATAAGGAAACTGAAAATACTTGCCAAGGAATTCCAAATAAATATTTTATAGAAGAGTCTTTAAGAACACCTACATTGTCTCAGTAATACATGTGATTTATTGCCAGTGTAAAAACAGTACACAAATTGAATTGATAAAAATTCATATGGAATTTTAAAATACGTGTAAAAGCTGAGTGTTAGTACAATCTGTTGTAGTCAATGTATATGTCAGTATTTTAAGCTTACCAAATAGATTTTATTTCTATTCTACTGTACAATGCTTAGTCTGTACATATACTAATGCACCATACACACTACCAAAATACTACTTATGTCTTTAATTTCCCTTTTTGCCTAAATATAAAGAAGTTAATATATTTGTGACACAAATTGCAATAACTAATTCTTCTCCCCAAAGAGAGCTTGTAGAAATCCTTTGTTAGTACAAAACATCCCCCCTCCCCAAAATACACAGCTATTCCAAAAAAGACTACTCATTGAATTTGAGCAAAGCATTAGCTTCCCTAGGGGTAATGAACCTAAGCATGTTTCATACATTTTTATAATAATTAATTCTCTATTAACAACAAAAGCAAGCAAGTCTTACCCAGTTCAATGCATCCACCAATGCCAAGAAGAGAAGCTGCACTGTGATAAAGAGGCAGAGTAATATAAATGATATCTTCTGAAGTAGCACCAAAAGCCCACAGTCCAGCAGCTCCTTTAAGAATCTGTAAATGACTAATGACTGCTGCCTTTGGAAGACCTGTAATCAAAATCAAAATAATGCATTAAAGCATTTTTTAAAGAGAATCTATGTATAAAGCCTCTAAAATCATAAAAGAGTCAATTCTTTCTTCTGTAAAGAAAAAATTCCATCTTTTTAGATGGCCATAAATAGTCAATTGGGTGTTTAACACAATATTGCATGTTTCTGAACACATAAAGATTAGCTAGTTTCAAACCTCACCTCTTTGCTACTTAGTTTGATGTCACTTCCATTCCAGTAAGAAGAAACATGAAGAAACTCACTGGTTTGCCTACTAGCAAATAACATACAGCAGAAATGGACAAAAAATTTACTCTATATATGGACTTCTTTTAACATAAAGATCTTGTTAAGGCAAGAGTTATAGTGACCGTAAGGTAAGCAAGAAAGGTATGGTATCTACATGGAGTAGATCACACAATGGGTGCTTATCTAAAAATCATACATCTATTAGTTTTAGAACTCTAAAAGTTTATGAAGTATTAAAAAAAAGAAAAAAAGGAAAAAAAATCATTGAAAAGACCACACCAGTTAGGTTCTTCTGCATGAGTTTCTTCAAGTTCAGCAAAGCATTTCTCTTCGGCAACATGCAGACTCAGAGGCAAGGGCTTCTTAGGCCACTACCCTGGTACTAATTAATCTGAGTAGGAGATGCGATCTCGCATAATGTATGTGCTCTCAAACACACACACAGATTTCAGTCCGAGTCAGGCTGATGATGAACAGTGAGAACTGTTCAATTCTTAAAAAATTGCAATGTTCACAAAGTTTTTTTACCTATTCTAGCACAACTATTGCTCATTTGAAGACTTAGCTAGAGCTGGAAGTATAATCTGTGGAGAGTCTAGCTACACCTTAAGACTACTCCACTTTTCCACACTAAAGAGAAAAGCGAATATGCCTAGGCTGCCAATAAATTGCTTCTAGCACAAGTTTCCTACAATCTTGAGTTTTTACTTCTTCCTTTACAGATTGTGCAAAATACACACTTCTTTTAACTAAGATTATTAGTCATTGGTGTATCAAAACATGTGAAAATGTTCAGTTATTCAGAATTAGTTATTCCATACTCTTCAGAAAAAACAAACCTTATGGTTCTAGTTACATAGTACATAATAGAAATTCAATTTAAATTAATGTATTACATACAAAGTTTCCAAAAGATTTTAAATTCTACATAACTGAAACTTGAGACTTCACAGATATTCTGATTCTAATTGTAAGAACAAAATCAACCCACTTGGACAATTCTGTAATATTTTTTAGCTAATTTTAACTCCCAACTCTTAACAAGTAAGCTTAGACATATTTCTATTAGTAGCATTGCAAATGAAACCTCATGTCTTGACAATATTTATAACTTCCTAACTTTTTTATTGGAGACTGATGTTCTTATTTCCTAATTTTTCCCGAGAACCTGAAGCAAATAAATTGAATTATTATTTGTAGGAAGGAACAAAGCCTCAAACCATATATGCATTTTTAATCTTCATGTGGCTAAAACTGTTGTGTTCAACTGAATGAGAATGCCAATCCACTCATCTTAAAAACATAATGCTGCCTTTCATGTCAGTGATCAGGTTTTTTTAAGTCTTAGCTTCTTAGCTGGTGGAGCACAATTCAGACATCTGTTTCTAAACTAAAAGGCTAGTAACTTAATCCTATTTTCTGTCTCTACAGTGACCTCCATAAAACATGACTTGATGAAAGAACAACAAATGACTATTTGCATGATTCAAGATTATTTTTTAAAGTTCTAGGTAAAATCTTAGTTTTAGCTAGGCAGTGTTATGTGGTCACAAAATACTATCTATTATGATTGTAAACCGACCAAAAAGCAATGTTTTGTAAACAACTTAGCTGTGAATTAATAAGAGGTAAAGCCTCTCATAGTATTTGCACAATGCGGCAGGAAAAAATAAAGAAGAGAAACTGAATAGAAACACTTACTTAAAAGAAATATGGGTGTTTTTCTATAATAATGCTTATAGATAAGAAACATGACATTTTGCTATTGAGATACTAGAGTTTCAGAAAAATCAAATTCCTAGATGAAAGCTGAAGAAAAATATAGACTTTTTAGCAGATCTGTACCTGTAGTTCCCGAAGTAAATATGTATAAAACAGCTGACTTGAGGTTCTTGGCAGTGCATCGATTAACTGGAACAGGGTCTTCAGATGCAACTTCTATTTTGTCTAAAAGGGTATGCACACCTGGAAACCTGGAATCCTTGGCCATTATCCAAACACTAACATCTTTTTGAAGTTTAGGAAGTATTTCTTCCAACGTCCCAAGCAAATCTTAAAAATCAACATGAAATAATGTTACTTCCATTATTTGTCTTCACAAAACAAGAGAATAAAGCATTTTGTCTCTTAAAATTTTTCTTATAATAGAAAGGAAAGTCACCTATGCCATGCATATAGATTCAATAAAATAACAATGAACTAGAACGAAAATCTACTGAAAACACTGCTAAAAATTCTACTGATCCCTCACAGTCAAATGGTCAAACAGCTTTCAAGGCAAACTTGTGAGCCTTGATTACTTGTTCCTATTGCCCACGTGATTTTAGGTAACCCTTAGTCATTGTTAAGACCAGAAGAAAGTGTGGTTGAGTTTCAACTTCAAATAAATCTTGAAGAAATCCATGCAAGGCAGATATAGACGTACAGTATATATACATATATATACAGTATATATATACAGATATATACAGTACAGGTTTCTTCAGATGCCCTCAAAAGTAATCTCCCATTGAGAACTCTTTTTTTCAAAAGCACAGACGTGACTAATTTAAAAAGAAACAGCAATTTAACTAGGGTTTATTCTGTTGGCTTATCAGAAAAGAAAAAATTAGAGAAGTTCCTAGAGTAAATAAAAAAGAAAATATATAGAGACGTCAATCCTTAAATAATCCATTTGGTATTTATATTTTGAAGCATTTTTACAACATCACTTTCTCAGAAGACTGCACAGTCATTAAAGTACTAATCCAGGAAAAATATCAAGAACAGAAACAATACTGCTTTCAATAAAACCCACTTACACCTAAGTGCTTTGATACATCTTACTCTAAGTAATTAATCTTACAAATATTCCTATGGGTATCAATTTATTTTATTATCTCGGTTTTCATAAATGAATAAACAAAGTTGACGTGACTCATCTAGAATCTCACAAAGAGCCAGCATTTGAAATCCTGATGTCAATTCCAAACTCACTTCACAAATATTAAATATGCACACCATATGCATAAATTTTATGCCAAAACAACTGAAGATTTTTAATCTTTCAGAAAGCTGCATTCCTAATGACAGACTGATGTAGTTATTTTAATTAATAACAAACAAATCTATATTGCTATTATGGATATACAGCCTACTATTATCAACTACGAATGTTTTACTAACCTAAAGCCTACAGAGCACAAATTTTATATATTTTATGAGCATTTAGCAAATAGATCTGACGTAGTGTAACATTAAATATTTTGTGTCCTAACTTCCTAGTATGGCAGAATGATTTCAGGAAGGAATTACCCAAATAATTTTAAAAATCTGAAAGATGGACAGCATCCTGTTTAAATCACTGGAACACAGTCCCCTTATAGACAGCAACAGAGTGAAAAAATTTAAATAAGAAATAATTTTAAGAAGAGTAGAATTAACTGCAGGAAACCTGATGCCACAAATGTCAAGGTTCCTGGGCATATTAATTATATCTTGCTGTTGTATTATAGAATTAGGGTATATTTTTGAGCAATAAACAGAAAAATATAACTGTACTATTTCTAATACGGATTAATAAACCAAGTGTGATGGAATAACTATGTACATATTATCTTTTTATACTGATTTTTGTCTTCCTATTACACATATATGTCTCTCAAATATACTAAGGATAGTTTGTGTAGTTAGACTGAGAACCTAGCAAAAGAAACAGAGGTGTTGGACATAGCTGGAGTTCTATTTCTGTTTTCAAAAGTAGTAAGAGAACACAGCAGTCTCTGCCACTCTTTATTCATTCACAGGCTCCATCCACAATGCAAGTCCCTTAAAAAGAAGAGGACTTGCCTCTTCTTTTTTTTTTCTTTTTCCCCCTTTTCATGCATCAAAGGAAGAAAGATGGCAACTATGAACTTTAACCCTGCAGATGCATTCGTTTAAGATTCAAGAATAACATAAGGACACGTTTCCCTTTTAGTAGATTGAAATATATTTACCCAAAATAGTTAAGATTAATCATCATATTGAACATACATATTCATTATTTTTTTCCCAATGGCTCTGGAGTTTTTACTACTATTGAACTATTACTATTGAAATGATTACACAGCATAGTTTTTCTTTGTGCTCAGGAATCTAGTACTTGCAACAATGCATGAACACTTGCAATTAAAAGTTTCCATGAAAGAAACTTCTCAGTAGATAGTAGAGAGCAGCAGAAACAATAAATGATTTCCTGAATAAAAAAAGGTTAAACAAGTTAAAACAGCTGTATTCAAAGTGCCAGAAACTGAAAGTCACTTCTGGAACACATGAGATGGGGTGTTTGGAGATGACTCTCAGTTGTAGTAACATATTTCCAAATAATAATTTGAATGATGGTCAACTAACATTTGTTCCCCAAACAGAAAACTTCCATGCTAGACATTGTGTAGGGCTGTCTAGTCTTTACATATCATCTTTTCCACCTGACAGGAAGACACAGCCCTCTTGGAAGAGCTATAATTAGTATATTTCTAGAGGTACCTTGTATGTGCAGTTCATATAGAAAAACAATTGCAGTAAAGCAACTCAGCTATTTAAACTTGGGAGTTTCACTCAAGTACTTATTGACTTTTTACACTATAAAAGTATACTCAGATTTTGGGTTACTTGTTTTGGGAGAAATGTCTCCTCATGCTAAATTTGGCAAGTTCCATCTGTGTTGTTTACATTGCTTGTATACAAATATTCGCCATTTGCTAATTATTTGGCTCCTACTGGGAAAAAATATCTGGAATTGATCAGGATGGATATGTTTTTCCACTTTTGTTTGCTTTTCTTCTCCTTTACTTTTAAAGCATTATTCAACAAAAGTTTGTGAAACTGTTACTTTATATTCACATTAATACATACATTAATGTCAGTTACATCTTTTGAGAAAGCAAGGAAAATATGTTTTGAACTACTGTCCTAGGCTTCTAGCTGCACAAAGGTTTTTTTATGTTATTTTCTAGCAGAGAGATCATGCAGGCTGTTGGCAAGGACACAGTTCCATGCTGATGAAAGGAATACATTAGATTATGAGATCAGTTTGTACTGAACAGAAAGTTACTCAGAATGAAAACTCCAAGAAAAGGTTCTTACATAACTTTGATGTGTACCCTGGCTGATATGCTTAGGAAGTTGTAACAAGTCCAAACTCTTCCCAACACTGTCTGCCCCCAGAAAATAATTGTTACTTATACTTGATCCCCCAAGTGACTCAGCACGGCTTCTCACAAAGTAGTAATAGAAAAGTCAGCTGTGGCTCAGGACAAGTGCTGGTATCCTGAGGCACCACTGAAGGCAGTAAGGTAATAAAATATAAATCACCTTGCAAATCAGAGTCAGCTCTTTTCTTCACTCAAAGACCATCTGGGACAGGACACAAACTAGAATAAAAGCAAGTGATCAAAGCGACATGGTGTCCAACAGAGCAGGTGTCTTCCACAGGTTTTCAATGGTCCCTTGTAATAAACGTTTAGGCCTAAATAGTTTTTTATTCCAAATAGATAGAATCCATTTTGATAGAATCCATTCTTTTTTCATTCAGTGACTAAGATGACAGATGAGACTTCTACTTCTATGTAATTTACAAATACCAAAAAATACTTCTCTTACTCTTTTTCTCTGGGATGTAGGCATGCTTCTGTCTAGCTCAGAATACACTCAGCAGCAGCAAGCACTGCCAGTGCCTCAAGAGTAAAGAATGCTGCCCAAAAAAATGCAGTACAGTTGGGAGACGTACCTCTGTACAGAACTGCAAAATCACAAGTTGGCTGTGAATAGCAGGGGCCTCTGGAGGTCACCTTAGTCCGATCTCCCTGCTCAAGCAGAGCCACGTAGAGCAGGCTGCCCACACGTGTCCAGGCAGCATGTACATTCCCTTAATAGCCTTTGTTATCAGGACTGATGTAAATCAATCTCATGGAGTTTAGAGAGCAATCCTTTAACAGGTGAATCCTTCCTTGCCTCAGAAGTCATGATGGCAGCCTGCGATGTCCTGCTCTGGGCTGAACTCCTCCCAGCAGGAACAGACTAGAGATGCCCTGGCACATAAATTCCATTTGTGCATTTCTGGTGGGCCACTAAACTGTATGTATTGTTTAGTAGTATTGCTGTTACACTGCTATAGATACAATGATACAACAGATGCTATGTAATCCCTTCTTCAATCAAGACTTCAATCAATAGAAATATTCCCCAGAATGGACATAGTGCCTTAAAGATGTCTCCATTTTAAGCTCTGCCTTATCTCCTCTGTTTAACCAGCAGCTTTTAAACAACTAAGGGTGGCCTAGTCTGATAACAAATGCAGTAAGAATGAACACCTCTTGAAAGGGAAGAGCAGACAGTTTCTTTCTTTCTCTTTTACAAGTTCCTCACTGACTCACAAGTTAGTTAACTGCGTTTTATTACAGTTTGAAACTCTAGCTTTTGAATCTCTTTCAAGAAACATTCCCCAAAATGGGAGTGGTGGGAGAAAATGTGTGTGAGAAGGTTAAGTAACAAATTAAAGCAAGAACTAAATGCTCTGGGAACATAGCTGACAAATGAGAGTAGTTAAAGTAAAAAAACTCTCTCTCTGACACAAAGGCAAATGGAATTACTGGAAAGGAACAGAAAGACTAAATATTGGCAAATAACAGAATCTGTACTTGCCTTTTAACCCGGGCCTGGATGAAAAGACAAAACATGTACTTGATTGCACTAAATGAATTAAAAGAGCATCAGTGTCATAGGAAAAAAAAAATCAGACTTCTAGAGATGGCCATTTCATATAAGAAACCAACAAGAGGAAGAAACCTTGAAGTTTTTATAATATATCTAGGGTTTAACAATAAAATATTTAGCTGTTGAATTCATAGAATACATCAAACCCACAAGCTTAAATACTCCTGAAACACTCTGAACTAAAGTTACAAAAAGCAATCCAAGTAAGAGAGAATTGTCAGATCAGAAGAAAGACTGATTCCAAGTGCTGAAGCAGAGACAAGATAATACTAATTGGAAGGGGTTACCAAACCACAATGCCTGAAAAATATGCAGGCACACAACAAAACTGAAGAGCAAAAAACGACACGAGAGTGATTTTAAGACAGGCACTATGAAAAATGGAACAAGGTATGGCAGAAAATGCAACCATAAATAGTATCAAGCCTAATTGTATGGAGACATCGCATTTTGAAAATGAGGCACAAAAAAGCTTCAAGATGCAATCATCTCACACAAAGGGAAGCTACATCATTCTGAGCAAGGAAGATTTAGCCATAAACAATCATCAGTGGGAATTGTTTCAGACAGCAGCTGAAGGTGGAAGATATGCTTCAGCATAACTGAAACCTTAATATTTACTACATATACATTAAGATACAACAATAGAGCCTGTATATAGGTTCCTGTTCTAATTTGCTATTACAGACAAGTATTTCAAGAGCAAATTTGGTTTTGCTGAGCACAGAAAGTCCAATTGTTAAGAGCAATCCTGTTCTGCTGTGCTGCAGTCTATGAATAAGACCAAAAGCCATCCAAAACACTAGATATAATCTAACTTTTTCAAGAAATATAATTGCTATGCTAACCTGCTTTTGTGGAGGATGAAAAACCTACATATTTTTTAAAAGAATTTCACTATGCAGAAATAATACCATTACGTACTCTTGTCTGATTTTAAAAAACAGTCTTAATTGCCAGACATTATGCCTGTCTATGGCAATGACAGGTATCAGACCACAGGTTGATTGGTTTCAGTGTAAATACTTTGAAAAACAAAATATATCATATTCAAACTATCCACACTTCTGTGAAAATAGTGCCACAAGGAAAATGAACAACTCATGTCCACTGATGAGGAAGAATCCCTTGATACTAACACTGGATGAAAAGATGTTTAATAGACCTCTAAGAATTATGTAACTGACTGTGTAACCCCAGCGTTAAACATTGCTCTGCAATTGTTATAAACATTAGGGGGAAATTATTATCTATAATAATTAGGTATAATATGTTTCTTTCAGGAGTGGTATGAGTTGGGCCTCACAGTCACTGATCTGTGTATAAACTTTCAGTTGCTAAATCTGGACTCTTTTGGAGAGGCTCCTGTATGATGTGGTCAATAGCTGAGGACCTAGCAACTTTAACTTCTTCCACAGCTTTTAAAAAAAAAAAAAAAAAAAAAAAAAGAGCCTCACTGAGAAGGCTCATGGGCCTGACAGACTTACAGCAGAGACTAAAAGCCAGTAATAAAGTAAGAAGTCCAAAATGTAAAACACCAGCTCAAAAACTAATTTTTTGGTATTTCTGTTGTACCAGCTGTCTGCACACAGCTCTTCCCTTGTAAGCAGAGGCAGAATCCTATTTCAACACAGTTGCTCTTACTATCAGCTGTTGGTAGCAAATGAAGAGTGGAGAAACACAGCTCCTGGCTCTGCTCTGCAACTGCTTTTTTCATCCATTAGTTACCTCTAATTTAAATAAAACTTCTCTCAGATACAAGCTTTGATCAAAAGTTTCTCCATGGCCACAGTCAATGAGCAGGAAGTTCCTGAACACTAATTCACTTCCTAAAATGATTCACTCAAAAGTACATATTCATAAAAATGAGCTAAACAAGATATTTTTTTTAATTAAGTAAGAAGGCAAAATGAAAAGCTGCCAGTTCAGAAGCCTTGTTAGCATATATTTGGATTATATTTAAATTGGCTTTTGTTTCATTGGCTTGTTTTAATTACCAAACACCTTAAACCAGCAAACCATATAAAATTAGAATTACAAGATTTATAGTTTAAAAATGTGCAAGGGAAAAATCTTAAATGCATTTTTGAAAACACAACGTTGTAGCAGTAGAGAACAGATTGAAGAAAATTGTATAATTTGGGTGTCCTGGGTGTAAACCCCCACAACTTGTGTAACAGGAGCAAAGCAAGAAGGTGTGCAATAAAAAAAAAAGGCAAAGGAGAGTTGAAACAATAATTTTAGAGAGGTGGGACAACATTACTATGCAATATTTTGATATATTTTCTTCCAATTAAGTAGCTTCTGTGCAGTCTTTGAGCCTTGCAAGTTCACTTTCAATTGATCATAAATGTTATGGCAAGTTTATGTCGTGGATCCGTCTTCAGTTTTTACATCTATCTAATTAAGTCAAATTTGAACATGTAATACCCAGGATGCCTACAAGATTTTAAATTCTTTTGAAGCATTTAATAAAAATGTAATATTCCAGAAAGTCGTACCACACACTGTACCATCGCTATTCAAACACAGCAATTTCTTCTACAGTCAAACAGCAACAGTTAGTTTGTTATTATGAATCAACCTCCTATACTCCCAAAACTTTATTCTTGGAAAACTGTCGTACCTCTGCAAACAGTTGAACAACAGAGGTTGTACAGTCCAAGCTTAGACCTTCCAGTTTTGCAGTGTGTTTGATCAGTAGAAAGATGGGAAGATAGTACAAGAGAATAAAGTACATTATTTAAATTATATATATAAATTAAATATAAATATAAATTAATAAATAAATATATATTTATATTATAAATTAAATATAAATAAATATAAATAAATAAGATTAATTTTGACCATTTGAGAAGTAATGGAAAAGTATTCTTAATAGGTCATTTTAATGCTTTTAGAAACACTTTAAGCTTCTACTGATGCAATTAAGCACTTGGAACAGACTGTACTTAGATGTTGAAAACTCTCCTACAATATACAATTTTTAGGAAAAGGTTAAATGGTTGCTAACAAAGCGTGGATATAATTGATTCTGCCTGAGAGGGTCCAGCCCTGCGTTTCCTTCACATCTGTAAATCAGGTTCCAATAAACAATCTGGAGGGCCGGATATGTGTGAGGATGTGAATTAAAAGCTTTGGATGTAAGAACGAGGAGCATATCCTACCTGCTCCCACAACCAGTATCTTGGGCTCACAGCTACTGACACAGTGCAGGAGAGATCTGAAGCGGACATTGAAGTTGAGGAACGCCACCACACAGCCCAACTTGGCCAGTCCGAACCACACGTGTATGAAGTCTGGCTCGTTCCCCATCAGCAAGGCCACCGTGTCTCCCTTCTTCAGAGCCTCGTGCTGCAGGAAGACCTGTGCTATCCTGTTACTCCTCCGGTCCACATCCCTGTAGGTGTGAACGGTCCCTTCGTAGATGAGGAACGGTTTGTGGGGCTGCTTCTCCGCCAGCGTCACGAACTTGTCCAGGACGGTGACAACCCTTCCTTGCAGCCGGTACATCTCCATCCTCAGCCCATAGGTCAACACTTTGAGCAGGTATCCCAGGTCTGCCCAGAAGTAGGGGAAGAGGAGTTTCTGGATGAAGTGCAAGGAAAGAATCCCGACAGCAGCTCCCGGTACCCAGGCGGGCGGCACTGGGAGCGGGTAAAGGTCCTCCCAGCCACGCATCTCCCCGCAGCCGCGCCGCCGGGCACACGGCCGGGCAGGGCGCGGAGGCGAAGGCCGGCACGGGCTGAGGCTCTGCCCGCCCTCTCCTCCTCCACAGCGGGACGTCCGGGCCAACACCGCTCAGGAGCTAGGGAGACAGGGAGCTCCGACGGCGCCCGCCCCAGCCAGCCCCGGCACGGCACGGCACGGCACGGCCGGAGTCCCCGCCCGCCTCAGCCTCGCCGCACCTGCGGGACGGCCCGGCGGGAGCGGGGCGGGAGTGCCGGCTGAGGCCGGACACCTTCTCCCCCCTCGGCCCCGGCACTCACGGACAGCGCCCGGCTCCTGCTGCTCCTGCTGCTGCTTCCTGAGCCGGTTGCATAAGGCGCGAACTCCCTCCCGCCCACCCCCGCCCGGCGGCCGCAGCCCGGGGTTGGCTGCCGGCGAAGGCGGCGGCGGCGGCCGAGCGCAGGAAGCCTCGCCCCGGGCCGAGGCGGCGGCTCGGAGCTCCAGGCGCGGTCCCGCGGAGGGCGGGGGCGGGAGCGGGGGGCAGGTGGCTCCCGCCGCCGGGCCAGCCCCGCCCCCGGCCCCGAAGGAGCGGAGGAGTGCAGACACCCGAAGAGCCGAGTTGTATGCCCGACTCTCTCTACTACTGTTTTCTTCTGTTTTACCACTAAGGTCGAGGCTCGATTAGACTAAGAATGTACAGACACAGGTGTGTGTCCTGGGGTGACTAGAGGGAACCCATTCAGAAGTTTCCTCCCAAATTTTGCCCTAAACCAGGACAGTCTGGCATACGGACTCTGACTGGACATGCATTGAAAACCAATTCAAGCAAATCAAATAGTGCAAAACTAGATTATGAGTAGATTTCACGCCGCTTTAAAGGCGAACCTGTCAGTAGGCTGGCAGGTTTTTATTGATATTGTAGTGTTCCTTACTTGAAAAGGGCAGTGGATGTGTATGTTCTGTGCTAACTAGGTGTACATTTACAGGAAGAAAGAAGTATTGAGGTCTTCATCACTTCTTCCAGAAAGACATTCTTCGACAACACAGAGTTCTAGCTTACTTCTCTTAGATGGAGATAACTTAAAAAGCCAGTATTTAAAATTTTTTAAAAGGTAGATTAAATGCTGCATTAGCCTGTGCTTAACATACAAAAATTCACTGTAGTTTATGACTGACTGAAGTTTGGCTGTTGCTACAGAAATGTGCATAAGCAATGAATAAGGGGAAATGCCGTGACTTGTAAGGAAGATACATACTTATGTATTGATTTGAAGGAAGATAGAGGTTGGCAGATACTCTTGTTTGCAAAGACTGCTTTGAAGAAGGCAGAGAGAAAGCAGAAGGCACGGCAGGTCAGGTCAATGAAAAGCTCTGGGCACATCAGCTTAGATGAGAGTGAGAGGAAAAGCAATAGGTAATTGATAGAGCACAGAATGGGCTGTGGATAAGAGAAATCTATTGTAAATATAATGTGCTCTGAGCTAAAACTCAGCCAGGCAACATTGCATTTACTAAAGTGACTAATGATTAGTTATGTCACCACATGTCATGAGAATAGACAGGAAAAATTTTGTAGCTTAGATGTTCTTATCAGTGCTGCTAATCCCCAAGAACTGGAATGATGAGCAAGACCTTAGCATAAAGACTCTGGTATTCTGAAATATGAAGCCTCAAAGCTAAATTGTACATTTGTGGTCTCTGAATTGTCCCTTTTCGTGTTAATTCTGCATAGAAATTATATTGATCCTCTCTACTCAGTATCCAAGGTTCTTGTAAATATGCACAATAACTTACTTCTTAATATCCTCCTGAAGAGAGACAGGACAATTCTCTAATGCATGAGTTATTTTCCAGTTTTTTTCTGGTCTGCTATAAAAATGGATATGATGAGCCAAGAAATATCAATTGGCAATGGAAAAGTCGCATAACTCAGGTAAAGCCATGCTGGAATTGGATTCAAACCCTGCTTATGCCAGAATTCCTTTGGGATATTGGACTAATCCCTTACAACATCTCCAAACAGGGTTAGTTAGTCAAGCCACATGCCTAACTTTACACCTTAAGGCCCTCTTAGTCCCTTGGTATGATGGTTACACAAGCAACTGTAGATTAAGACTCAAGGATCTGCAGTTTCTATTCTATACTAAGTGAAATGATAGCTGGTCTAGCTCCTAAAGTTAGGAGGTAGGTAAGGAATTAGTTAAATTCACCTTCAATATTTTTGCTCTCTATAGCTTTGGTTCTTGAGCCCATGGAAATACATGCACATTTGTTAATTTTTTAAAAAGTAAACAGCATAGAATTTGAATTACTCAAATTAATTTTTTTTCTTGTTAACAAGTTAATATCGGCAGTTAAGATACAATTATCTGCATGCATGGGTTGAGTGTAATATACAAACAGTTAAGAAAACATGAATGTCATATGCATTGAATAACTTGTTGGAAAAAATAGTTGTCTGGGAAAAAACATATTTTATTATGAGGATAAAATTACTAACATAGCACGTACTTGCAAGTGGTACATCCATATTGTGAAGAAACCTTAATTAAGACTATTCCAAAGGTTAACTCAAAAAAACCTCTAGAAAGTTCTCATATTTTAAAGGCAGTGATATTCATTTTAAAGTAAATAAAACCCCAAAAGTATAGTGAAAAATTATCTGCTCATCAGCTTCTTGTTAAATGTGATAAGCTGGAATCTAATTTACTTTTGACACTATGTAGGTCGTGTAAACTCGTACCACAGACAAACCACTGAGCCCTGAATTATTTAGTACATTGTAATTATTCTGCTAAGTTTCATTTCAACAGAAAACATTTTGATGCCTGAGAGTATGCTATGACCCAATAGTGAAATATAAAGGAGTTTAATTTTCTACTGGTGGAACTCATATGTGAGAAGTTTCTGGTTTGTTTTTTTAAATGTGGTTAGATAAAGTATTTCCCTGTACCAAAATCTCAGTATTGCAGGAAAATATGCACTGACTACAGAAATGCTTCTGTTGTGTAAAAATCCTGTAGTTTTGATGTTACCATTTTGACACACTGTGCATTTTAAGATCCAGATAACACATTATGGTGCTGTACATACATTTTATTAACTCTGAACCTGGCTAATATGCCTATGGGAATTTGCTTGGACTATTTTATTGACATAAGTATCAATTTGGGGGACAGGAAGCTATTTAAAATAAGATTTTTTTTGATGTATGGAGTTTTGGGGTCCCCTTGGAGTTAAATAATAGCATAAATTCTGAAGTGTCAGCTATTTTCTAATTACTTATTAAAGTAATTTTAAAGTAGTGACTTTTTTTCATCTGAAATAAAAGTTTTTAAATTTACAACAGAAAGAGATTAAACAGAAATTCCTCCAAGAAAAAAAGTCAATGACTTAAAAATAGATTCTTGGCTTTTCAGAGTGTCAGAGTACTGTAATATGGAAGAGGAAAAAAACAGCACCATATTCTGAATATTGTCTTGCAGATTGTCCACTGACATTGAATTCTTCCTTTTTTGTATTTATATTAAATAAATATATTTTAAAATATATATTCTATTTTAAAATATATATTCTATTTTAAAATATAGTCCAGAAGATTAAATTAAAAATAAAAATACCTTGAAAATGCAGTTTCCAGATCTTCACATCTCACTCTTCAATTCCATTCCCATTAAAGTAAAACAATAATGTCCAAGTAATTGTGTCTATTAATTTCCACAGGTTAGCTGTGAAGCATACATCTAGCAAAGTCTAAAATCTTAAATCTAAAATTGAACAACTAATAAGCAAACCAGAATTTGATGTCTAAGTGCCCAGTAAGCAAGTCATAATGCTGAAACAGTCACACAAAATTCATGACTAATCATGTCCCATGGAAATTTGGGAATGAATGGTATAGTCATACTACAGTTATTACAGAGACCTGAGGAGGTAAAGTCTAAAGTTTTTGTCGTGGCACAGACCAGACATTATGGAAGTTTTTCATCACAGAAGAGGATCCAAACCCATAGGAAATGAAAATTAATTTTCAAAATATTTTGGAATGTTTGTTTATTCTGTAATTGTGTGAGGATATTCATTTGAAATACTTACATTACATAAAGTACCTTGTCTCAAGTCATTCACTACAGCATGTTGACACTACAGACTTGTGGCAACCTTTCAAAGATGTAAAGAAAAATAATCTCTGGTAGATGAAATTTTATTAACAGAAAGCTTTATTATTAATATAATTAATCCTTTTTAACCCCCCATATTTTATTTTTAAATTTGATTTAGCTTTGAATAGGTTCTACAGGTAAATTTGTAGTTTTTCCTGAATTCATGAAAATGTGTTTGTACTAGGAGCCACATGCACTAGAACCCAGTAAAATTTAGCCACAAGCTTCCAAAGAAGCATACTGAAATATCCAAATTTTCTCACTCCTAGAACAACTTGGTGGACTGCTGATGGAATGAGTACACAACAGTGAGTCTTTTGGTCCTGAAAAGATAGAGTTGGGGTTCAGTCCCACCGTCACCCAGAAGTGATGTGAACTGAGCAAGCTACCAGTTTATACATTTGATATGAAATATATAGAACTATACAGAAGGATTTCACATTGTAGTCTGATAAGTCTCAAACCAGTGGTTTTGATTTTAGTAGTTCCTCAGCTCCTGCCTTGCTTATCAGGTATAAAACATGACACTGACCTGTCAAAGATGCGTGCTTTACATGGCTCTAAAGAATAGGTCATAATTCATACAGGAAGATCAAATAAGAGCGAGATGAAAAGTAGAATCTGAGTATAAATCCTTTATAAAGGATATTCTAGTGCCATCTCAGGTATAAGGTAAACAATAGGATTTGAAAGCAGGGAGAAACCCCAGACAGGACATGAACTGAAACAGAGAAGGAAACAGACTTCTCCTCAGTATGAAGTGCCATCATTTTAACATTCTTTAAGTAGATACTTTGTTGACCGCTAGTTTAACTTGACTCATGTTACAGGTGATTTGAAAATACCTTA